ATATCTGTCTCTGGCCTCCACCTTCTCTGTCCTTGGAGTTTTGGGGCACAGCAAGTGCTGAGCACGGATACAACCCAAATGAGGGCTGGAAGCCAGTGCAAGCAGGGCACAGGGAGGGGTGGGCTGGCAGTAGGTGCCCATGTGTCAGCTCTTTGTCGCCATCACCTTGCAGCTGGGAATTCCACAGGTCATCATCTGTGCGCAGGCTGTGGGTGGGGCTCTGCATGGTGGGTGGAGTGGGGCTTCAGTCTATCTTTCCTGAGCCCTGTGCCTCAGAGTGCACCCCAAGTTGGTGGTGTAAAAATACCCACCCTGCCCAGCTCCAGTTTCTGCAGGAGGCTGAGGCATTCCTGGGCCTTCTCAGGTCTGTTCTCACATGGCAGGTCCTCCCAGGGCTGGGATGTCTGTTCTCAAACATTGCAACTTTGGGATTAAAAATAACTCTTGGTTCAGCTTGGCTGCCCTTTCCCTGCCTGGTGACAGATGAGGACGCCGAAGGTCCCATCTTGTGGTATTTTCAGCCTAAACCATCCCTTTGCCCTGTGTACCCTGTAGCCCGGCACCATCCATCATGAGTCCTTGATTTAAAAAGGAGAGAATTAAAGAAAGAAAAACATCGCAGCTCCCACCAGGTAGCAAAGTCACCAAATGTCACAGGAACACCAGGCTGATGCCACCAAAATAGCAAAGGAGCAGTCACGAGTGTGGCAGGCCCTTCGTCAAGTGCCAAGTGCCACAAATGAACTTCTGCTACAGCATAGGTGGACTTGTAGGGGACCCCAGGGCCTAAACTGTCCCTAGATAGCCCCCCAGTTATAAGATCATCGTTAGGATTATTCTCTCTGAACTTAAGACCTGTGGCCGGCTAGAAGCTGGGAGGTTCATGTGGGTGACTTGAAATGAGAAACTCTTAGGTTGGCAGAGTTTGTTGCAATGTAAGAATCGCAGTTTCTTCCTAACTTCCCCTCATCTCCTGATTCTGTGTCAAAGGATCTGCATGTAGGTGTAGTGTTTTTTGTTTTTTTTCTTTTGTACTGGGGATTGAACTCACGACCTCACACTTGCCAAGCAGATGCTTGTTCTGCTGAGCTGTGTCCCCAGCAGGTAAGTGTAATTTGTTTCCCCTACAAGGGAGAAAAGAGTCTTAAAGCCCTTAATTGCTTTTGAGTGACTAGAATCCATTGCTCCCCCCATCATTGCCAGAGACACCCCAAACCTCTGGGGTTCCCTGAAGCCCTCTCACCCCTTCACAGAAATGGGCCCACAGGGGCTGGGGCTCTAGACCCTGCATTTGGGGTGGATGAGTGCTCCCTTCCAGCTCCAGCACAAACTCTTTGGTGCTGCTGCTGGAGCACTGTAGAGAGATTGGGGCAGGTTGGGGTGAGATGAGATGGACATCACGGGGCTTTGCCAGCCTGGCCTGGACCACCTGGACCCCTGGTGAGGCACATGGCAGGAGTGGCCTGCAGGCTGGGGCGGGGGCAGCCCTCACTGCCCGGCCGGCCTGTGTGTCTGTGCAGCCTTTCCACCAGGCTCTGGTGCAGGCACGTCCTACATGGTGGCTGTCACACCTGGAAACGAAGTCACAGAATTCACCTTCTCTGTCCCTGTCCCTCCGGCAGCACAGCACACTGGGTCCCCCAACTCTCTCTGGCACAGATTGTCTCAGATTGTCCTTTTTTTTTTTTTTTTTTTTAAATTGTACAAACAAAGCCAGAACCCCCTCTGCCTGTTTGCTTCTAAAAGGACTCTACCGTCATTTTCTCCTTGCTCCTACCATGGAAGGCTTGTCCCCTCTTCCCAATTGAAAGTCCCACCGTATCCTCCATCCCTGGACCACTGCTGCCTCCTCTCCTGGGATTTCATCTCCTTCTTCCTCCTGGGGCGCTGTCTTCCCTGGAGAGCTTGCTGGTCACTGCCATGCTGCCATCCCTCTGGGGTCCTCAAAGCCACCTTCTGACACCTCCTTCCCTTGTTGCTGACGCTGCCTGCCCAGGCCTGGTGGGCAGATCGGGAGGTTGACCGACTGATAGCTGCAAAACTTGCCACCATCTCCCACTCCCACTCCCACCCACTTTCCTCTGCCCTCAGGGCCCAGCACAAAGGCTTTCTTATCACCACGTCCTGGGCTCTGGCCCATGGGTTGCTTACCTGCTGTTCCCTCACATTTCCCACGCCCTGCATGACCTCAGACACCCAGGTGTTCCCTGACTTTGAGCATGACTCAGGCCCACAGAGACAGTACTCTGGAGGCCATCAACCCCAGGCTCTGTCACTCCAAACTGAGGGCCTGCTGGTCATCACAAAACCTCTGTTTTCTGTGTTTTTTCTGCCTCCCACAGTTATTATAAATACAGAATTGATTTTAAAAAATGTAAAGTGCTTGTCAAAGTGCTCAATAGATAATATTAATTATAAAAACTAAACGTCTTCTCATTCTACTGAACATAGGCATTCTGAGATCCCTAGCAGATGCCTGAAACCATGCATACTACTAATCCCTAGCTAGATGTGGTTGCATACGCCTATAATTCTGGCACTTGAGAGGTGGAGGCAGGAGAATTGCTGGGATTTGAGGACAACCTAGGCTAAATGGTGAATTCAAACCAGCCTGAACTATACAACATGACCCTGTCTCAAAAAAGCAAAACCAAAATACTGAATCCTCTATGTTCTTTTTTTTTTTTTTCTACTAAGTAACCAATGGGTGGGTAGCATATATAGCATGTATACACTGAAGCAAGTGATTCATATTCCAGGTGGGACAGAGCAGGAGGGTACAAGATTTCATATACTACTTACAATATCATACAATTTAAAAGTGTATTAATTGTTTCTGGAACTTTCCATCTAACGTTTTCAGTTGGCTATAGGTAACTGAGACTGTAGAAAGCCAGACCATGGAAAAGGGACTACTGTATCTCATAAGACAGCCAATTTATGGTTGGATATCATCTGGTTTTTAGAAAGTCCCACACCCCTCCTCTTTTTTTTTTTTTTTTTTTTTTTACTGTTTTGTTTGACACAGTCTCAGTATATAGTTCAGGCGGACCTGAAATTCACTATATAGCCCAGGTAGGCTTCAAACTCAAGATCTTCATGCTTGTGTGTACCCCTGGTTACGCCTGGCTTTCCCCCTTATTTAACAAATCCTGTCATAAGGCATAATCTGTGAAAGGTTCTAAGACCAAATTTTTTTCTAGTCCTGGGGACTGAACACAAGGCCTTGCACATGCAAGGCAAGCACTCTGCCACAGTGCTATATCCACAGTCCTTCTGCAATGCTTTGCAAAGTTTAACTCTTTCAATCTTCATGACAACACCATGAGTTCTCTTACCTTACTGAAGAGGATATAAGGCATGGAGACATGAAGTCACTGGCTCCAGGTTATGGAGCTGATGATGACAGAGCCAGGCCCTGGACCCAGGTGACCCGGCTTCAGAATTCCTGCTCCTAACACCCTACCCTGCTCCCTGTTCAGGAGAGCTTCATTGAAAAGATGTGAATGATCTTCTGCTCACGGCAGGGCTGTGTGGTGACACGGAACACTGCCATTGTGGAGCTCTCAGAGCTCCTGACCCTACCGCTCAATCCTTCCTTGTTTCTCCCTGTGTTGGTTAGAAAAATAGGGGGTGTTGAGGACACGCCAGGCAACATTATGTGGTAGGGCCCAGTGACAGCCCAGACAGACTGGGTGCCAGCTCTTACACTGCTGCTAGTTCTCTGCAGTAGCTGATAGTGCCAGCCCCGCAGCAGGAGCACAACGGATTTCTGCAGACAACCTTCTCCTCTTGGTGGCCCAGGGGAAGTGCAGGAACTTAAATTTCACTAGAGGGCGCTGTTCAGCACTGCAGCCCCAGGGACCTGACCCTGTGGAAGAAGAGAGATTCAAAGGGCTTGCTAGGGTGTCCCAGGAAGCCAGGGGCAGGGTGTGTGTGTGTGTGTGTGTGTGTGTGTGTGAGTGTGTGTGTTATGACAGGAGGGTGTCACTTGCCAGGTTTCTTACCTGATCTCCCTCCATGCTGTCCTGAAGTTACCCCTCTCCCAATCCTACAGTTGCCAGTTAGGGCCTAGACCAGTAGCGGCCCTGGACCAGTGGTGGCCCTGGACCAGTGATGTTGTCTTTTAAATCAAACTATGGTAAGTGCACGAGTTGTTTTTTCTAAACAAAAACTTCAGTGTTTAGGTTTAATTCCAGTGTTGGTATTTTGTGATAAATAGGTTGGTCTCGAACTTGTAGTTCTCCTCCTGCCTCAGCCTCCCATATGCTGGGATTATAGGCATGCACCACCCTGCCCAGAACTTCCTGTTATGTGCTTGTCCTTGTTCTATCTCCCTCCTTTTATTGGAGACAGGAAGTATAATAGTAGTCCTGGAGAACTGAGGGGGCATTTGGGTTTACTGTGTAGCTGGTGTTGGTCACGCAATGATGGGAATGCACTTACCAAAACTGGACACTAAAATATGTTTAAAATGGTAAAGTGCGAGCTATATCACAAGAAAGTCATATGTTTGTAACAGAGCCCCCTTTCAAAAGCCTGTTCCACAGAGGGCACCACAGTGAGCACTACATGTGTACTCACGTGCTCCCCATGATTCCCTGCAATGGGCTTTTTCACTATTCTCACCCTACAAGCCAAGAAATGAAGTACAAAGAACTGGAGAAACTTATCAAAAGTTACCCACTTACTGAATGGGAGAGAGAGGTTTGAGGCCAGGCAGACTGCATTTCTAACACAGATACATTTATATGGTCTGGATAATTGCTATCCAGTATTCCTCTGTTTGTTAGTTACTCAGGAAATAGTTCCAAAAACAGTTTGTGTTACTCTTGTTTCTTAGAGACAGCAGGCCACTGTGTTGCATGGCTGGTCGCTATGATGCAATCATAAGAACCAATCCTCAATTGACAAGCCATTCTGCGCCTGTACTTCCTGCTTGCTTATCCTATAGAAGCCCTATTCCACCAGAGATCAGGGCCTGATATTTTGGGGATGACCCCAATCACTGCCTATCAGTGCGAAATAAACCTGCCCCCAAGCCCTGGGTGACTTTTCAGTGTTTCTGCTTGCTATTGCATGAGTTTCCAAGAAGGTTCAATCCATCTTGTCTAGAGATATCAAGAAATGCCTCCTGGAGAAGGTGAGATGGGAGCTAGATGGGCTACTCCGTGAGGGTGCTGAATCTATTCACCCTCTGCTGTGATTTCCTTACTGGTTTTGGGTCCCAAAGAAATTCCTTCCAGATTCTTGGTATCCTGAACAAAGAATTAAGCAACATATGTAGCATAGGTATTGAGGATTTATATTTATTAAAGGTGGAAAGAAAATATCTCTGCACAGTGAGAACAGGGTGATTCACAGTAGACACAAGGTTCATATAGATTGCTTTTCTCCTATGCAAACGGGCATTTGGGATGGTTGTATCAGTAAGTCATTTGGCCTGACATGAGATCTAAGGTGTCCTATCAAAAGCCTGCTTAGTTTTGTCTCAGAGGTAAATGAAGAACTGAGCATAGCATTTTTCTGATCGGTGCCAAGGTTTGGGGCCATTATGTTCTGGGTCTCTGTGATTGACAGGTCATGCCCACTTAGTCAGTTTGCTCTGCCCTAATCTTCTACGTCAGTTACTATGGCTGGCACAGTCCTGACTCAACTCTTTTATCTAAGATCCCCTAGTATTGGAGCTTCCCAGGACCCATGGGGGAGGAGGGGAAGAATATGGTGTCACGTTCCACACACAGCCTGTGGTACCTTCTCTAGCCTTTGCTTTGGACTAATGAGCAGGCCTCACTGGCCTGGTCTCTCCCTGCAGTGTAATGACAGGAAGTCATTGCACCCAGCAAGAGGGCTTGGCTAATGACACCTGTGCTCAAGATGCAGCCATTGCTCCCATTAAACAAGCACCAGCTTGGACCACAGCACCTTTAAGAGGGCCCCATGGGCTCCTGGGTGGGGCGGTCAGCTAGGGCAGCCCACCTGGTACACAGGTTTCTAGTATGAGTGAGTGGACAGGCATTCAGGATGATGTTTTTCTCCTTTTATCATCAGGGTTGGGGTGCTGGAGTCACCTACTAGAGGTGATTTTTAGGTTATTTTTGTTCCTAAAAAATTGGATGAAATGAGAAGAAACAGGCAAAAATTGACATTAATGATAGGAAAAAAAACAGAAGGATAGGGAAAATAAAAAACACCCAGGACTTTGCAGAGGGAGCTTGGGCTAAGTAAAAGTAGGAAAAAGGAGAAGGGAAAAAAAGAGAGAAAAGAGAGAGAGAGAGAGAGAGAGAGAGAGAGAGAGAGAGAGAGAGAGAGAGAGAGAGAGAGAGCGCCAGTGTCTCCCAAGATCCACGCCATGCGCCGGGCAACAAAGGAACCTACTCGCCTCTATGGTAACCAGCCGTGGCGTGAGTGAGCAGCCGGCGACCCAGGGAGAGAACCAGCCAATCAGTGTCTCTTGAGATCCACACCACATGGGAAGTTAGGGTGTTGGGCAACAAAGAAACCCACTCACATCCATGGTAAGCAGCCTCAGCCTACCTGTGCACAGGCTGAGAATCAAACATCCCCTCCTCCTACCCCCCCCCCACGTTAGCAAATGGGAACCAGAGATCTGAGCATCTCTTGAGAGGATGATCATATGCAATATAGCAAATAAAGTGGATTTTCTTCTACCATCTCTTTGAGGGCAAATATTGTTATCACTGTCTTGCTTTGTTCTGATCAATTATATTGCTCTATTCAAAACTCTGTTTTGATAGGTTTTACTCTGTTTTTCTGTATTTGGTTTGATTTTGCTATACCTGATTGAAAGGACAACTACTGTGAAGATAACAAGATATACTATGGTACCTATTACTGTTATCCCCCTAACCTGCTGTGAAGTTCTGTACCAATTTCAACTGCATTTTCTCACTTGGTTTTGTTCTGTCTTGTTCTGTTGTTTAATACTATCTTCAAACAAAAGTACAGCACACAGTGACCAATCACAAAGATAAAGGCTAGCCAGGGATTATTGACAATCATCCCTTTTATATATCTCATGGTGACGTCACATCAAGGTCGTCCTATCAAAAAGCCTGCTGAGTTCTTGCCACCTGCAGGGCTCTGAGACTTGTTCTGCGCATGTGTCCCTGCATTTTATCGTGCTTCCTTTCCCAACTAGCTACTGGGACACCATATTTTCCTGCCTTACTTTTACTTTCTAAGACCAGAGGAGGGAGATTTCACTGCCCCTTGGTCCAGGGTGGCGCTCTCACTGTGTTTTTTCTACTACTGCGGTAGTGGAGCCTTAGAGAGACTCCTGCAGCACTAGTGAAACTGGCCCGCGGGGAACCCAGGGCATTCTGGGACCCAAGTGAGAGAAGGTACTTAGAAAAATGACTTTAAGTGAAGAATGTATGGAATTGCAATGTGGGCAGAGGCGGGATTTCATGGAGGGACCCTAGACCTAAAAACCACTGCACTGATGGCTGGCAGCCGTAGCCTGCTCCGCAGAGCCTGGCTGGCAGAGGTGGGCTGCCAAAGGGGCCTGTTTCTATCAGGCAGCAAAGGCTGTCTGTCTCCAGGTGTGCAGGGGGAAGATTTCTGAGCTTCCATGAGGGTTTTAAAGAAAACGGTGTTGACTAAGAAGTTTCCCTAGGGCGAAGTTGGTAAAAGAAATATTTGTGGGTCAAATCCTATTTCTATTTCCTGCTTCTAATACAATAGGTCTTTCTTTCACGTAAAAATTCCAAACTGGTGAAGACAAAGGTTACTGTCTCTGTCAGTGAGGCAGATCTCTTCTCAGTTTTTCCAACCCATTTATTACAGAAACAGCATAATACTTGTATTTATGAGACCCTGCTTTGGCTCCAGCTGTTTCATGGGGATTTTGATCCTGCTTCCCACAGGGAACCCGTTTTAAAGATGCGAGGTGGTGAATAGTGCAGGGTTCACACAAGGCCGAGTAGATGTGGCACCGTCTCTACGAGTGGAACATCCAGGTCATTACAAGACAGCTATTCACCTTGACTTTTCCCTTTCCTTCCTCCAGAAATGCAGAGATGCAGGATGGGAAGGTGTGCCTCGAGACCCAGAGTGGATGAAAGGTAAGAGTGTTACATCTATGATGTGGGAAACCCCAGGAAATTGCTTTCCAATCTGATCAGAACTTGGTACAAACATGAGAAGCCATACTGTGGATGCGACCCTGCCACCACCTTCTGTATGTTCCTGTCGTCGCCAACCACTTGTACTGAAAATGGTGGGCCATTCCACACACAGATTTTATGTGCTTTGCATGATAGATAGAAAGGAATATAAAATTACTGATAATTATCTAAATTTTAAATTTTTCTGCATAGCCGGACCTTGGTATGCAATTGCTTTGAAGCTTATGGAATTTGGTACTCAATGCATTTTGATGTGAAAATTTGGTCATTTGGTACTACCTTTTCCAGCCAAAATAATTTGTGTCTTTCTTAGAGGTTGTCACGCCTCCTGGAACCAGTTAATGAAGAATACCAGGGTATCACAGTGTTTAGCATGATATTGAAAAGCAGATTTCCAACACCAAGACAATTGAGCAAGAAATATGGAAAGCGAGGAAGAAGCTTTGACATTTGAGCTCACGGCACTTCTTCCTGCCTTTTGAACGAGAGTTCTTTATTTGTATTTCCCTACAAGGCTGTATAACTTGGGTAGTTGGATGTGACAGCAAGGCTAGATCAAAATCTTACTTCCACATAGACAAACTTGGGCTATTCTTTTTCACCAGATCAAGCCCAAGTTTTCCAGGTGAAAAATGGAAAATGTGAAGTTTTGCTTTTCATGGTTCTAGTGAGTTATCCATGGTCAACTGGGGTCTAAAAGTATTAAATGGCAAATTCCAGAAAAGTCCGAAAGTTTTAAATTGTATGCTGTTCTTTGTAAAATGCTGAAATCTTGAACTGTGCCCCACCTTGGATATACACCTTCCTTGGTACAGATGAGGCAACATACATGGGCTTTACTGTTTGGTCCTATTTCTTGTGCATGGCAACCAGTGGTTGTAGTGTATACGATTGTTGCCTAAGGTGGATTTTTGCTATATTTTTTGGCCTCCACTTTGATACTTCTGCTACTGTACCACAGCACTGTTTTGGAGAACAATCTCCTTTATGGTGTAGATGGCCTTGGTGGAACTATATCCTTTCTTACCCAAGGAATAGCTTGAGTGACTCCAAAAGACCAGTCATGCTTTGTCCCTCAGGATTTGGGTTCTTTCGAGGACTAGATTAATCCTACCCATTGTCCAGGGCTCCAAGGTTTAATTCTGCCCTCGTGGTACCCTGAGGTCTTCTGAACAAGTCCCTTGTGCAAGTTACTTTCTTCTGGGAGCCTCAGTGAGCCAGCCCTGACCTCCGTTTGCTTAAGGGAAATGGTCTGTGTCTGACGTCTGTAACCAAAGCTCCCCAGCTGGGAGAGGAGGAGTCCAAGCCCAGAGATGTGCTAACCCACTGCTGTATTCCTGCAGTGGCTCCATTGTGGTGCAGAGACATAGCTCTGGAGCTAGCAACTGGCGCCATTTTCTTTATGGGGGAAAGATAACAGCGTAAGTGAAAGGAAGCATAAAGAGACAACAGTGTTATCGAGTGCAGATCCTGAGCTGGTGTCCAATTATTTGGTGTTGTTTTTATTAAGTGTTGCATTTAGAGAGTTACTGATCAGATTCTCAGATATCTGTTTTTTCTTTTTTTTCTTTTTTTTTTTTTTTTTTGTCTTTTTTTGGAGACAGGGTCTCACTGTGCAGTTCAGGCTGACCTTGAGCTCACTTTGTAGCCTAGACTGGTCTCAAACTTGCAATGATCCTCCTGCCTCAGCCTCCTGAGTGCTGGAATTACAGGCGTGAGCCACCACACCCAGATATCTGTTGATGAGGACAAAAGAGACAAAATTTCAGGATGTAAGAGGGCCTGGGAAGAGACTTGGCTCTATGAGCAAGCTTGCCAGCCTCCACAATCAACTCATTTTTATTAGCCAGCAAGAAGCACAGGAGGATGGGGACATGTGTCGTTCATGACATGGTTGAAGGAGGTATTGAAAAAATAAAGAGCAGGTATAACTTCAGAAGAGATAAAAGTTCAAAGGAGCACAGGCCCTTCTCTATATCCAGTTCCCTGCGCAGATTAATAGGAGCTGACTCTCGGTGGTCCTCAGCGGATCTTATCTTGCCCTGAGAGCACTGTGACTATGAGTCTTCCCCCCATGGCCAGAAAACGTGTAGCTTTTTCCACATCATTTTCTATTCCCCAAACAAGACCACGTAAGCCTCAGGACTGTGAGGTATAGGTCATCATCTTAGCAGGGGTGGGGTATTCCTAGAGGTCGTCTTATTGGCTCATTTGGTCCTTATGAAAACTCCGAGGTTGGTAGAGCCATCTCTGGGAGATGAGGCCACTGAGGACCTGACAGGTGGAGTCCCCAACATCCCTGGGCCCAGGTGCAATAGAATCACTCTGGCCCCTGCTGTGCCACCTGTGCCCTTCCCCTGGGTCCAGCTGTGGTCTCCACTCTGTGTGGCCCTGTGTGAGCCCGTGGGGCAGGGTACTTTGTAATTCCCCCTCAGTGGCAGGCTACAGACATGTATGACCCTATGACACCACCACGACCCCTTCGGTCACTGAAACCCTACAAGCTTTGTATTTGGGGAAATTTGGAGGCCCTGTTTCATTTGGAAAGCGAACAGGAACAGATTGGATCTCTTGTGACTTCATTCTTCCACAGATGCCAGGCAGCAGTCAAAACAGGATCTATAGGACCAAGCTCAGCCGACTCTCTGTGGCAGAGGAGCAGAGCCAAGTCAGCGTGTCCATGTGGGGCTGCAGGGTCCTCTGTGTTGGTGGGAAGAATCAAAGCCCGTTATGTGAGGTCCAGAAGAGCAGAGACGTCACTGGCCTTGCTCCCTGTGTGTTCCCGTGTCTGGAAGAGTGCTGGTGCAGAGCTGGTGCTCTGGAAGCTTTTGTGAGCGAACGCCTAAGTGCTCAGTATCCATTCATCTTTGGGATGTCGATAGGGTATCCTATTGGGTATTGAGGAGCCTTCACTGAGGGCATTCCTCCTCCATGCAGCCCTTCACACTGTGATCTCATGTAGCACATAAGGTAAGAAGAAGGTGCATAGAAAATCCACAGCTCACCCTTGCTGCAGGCAGTACAGTCAATGAAATGAATAGCTGACCAGAACGCCAGCTCTCTCCTTTCCCTACTGAGCTACACAAGTGACCTTGCACGCCTTTAAATGCATGTGCTAAGCCTCCTATTAGCAAGATTGCACATGCAAGTACTGCTGGCTGGGCAGGTGCAGGTTCAGGTGGGCAGGTGCAGGTGGCCTCCACAGCCCCACCTGCGGCACCCCACCTGTGGGCTGAAGCACACCTGGCAAGTCTGCTCTGGAAAGGAGAGGGGACACATGTTGCGTGTCATAGGTCCCTGGATTCCAAAAGAAGATGGGATGGAAGTGTCCATTGTTTTATTAATTCCTAATATAAGCAATATATTAGGAATATATTGCCCCACAAGGGCATTCAAAACGCTTAAAATTTAGTAAATTTGTAAATAAGTATCACGTCATACTTTCATTTCTAAATAGACAGTACACCTCCTGGATCATAGTAGGTTCCTAATAGGTATTAGGCGAATGAATCTGTGGACTTTCTGTGTGTATCCTGGTGAAGAGCAGCAGTGCTCATAAGGAAGAACAATCTCATATTGTCCACATAGCAGAATAATGGCTAATGCTTCGTAAAGCTCCCCCACCTGTGGCTTTCAAGTGCCCACATGCACTTACCTTACTCATCTTAACTCTCAGGGGTAGCACACCAGGCTCCCACAGTAACAGGCAAAAGTGCTAAAGCAGACTAGCTACCTGGGCTGGGGAAGGCCTCAGAGCTGTCTCTGGGCAGAGGCAGAAGCACCGCGCGAGCTTCGCAGCTGGCAGGCTGTCCTGGCCAACAGCCTGTGCCTTGTCCCCTCTCTCTGCATTCGGTCAGACCTCTACCTCTGTGATAGGAAAGCTTGGAGTGGACCAAAAAAGGTATCTCAGTGCCGCACTCTCCTGGCACACAGTATCCTAAACTCCCCACACACTTCGGAGAGGGTATGAGGAGATTTCCGGGTTGAACCTAGAACCTTGAACATGCCAGGCCAGTCCTCTACCACCAAGCCACACTGTAGCCCTGATACAGTTTCGGAGACACACCTGGAAGCTGCTTTTATACACAGCACTGAGAAGACAGACTTTGCCTAGAGAAGCAGTAGCATCCAAGGGAATTTCTTTTTCTTTTCTTTTTTCAATCAAGAAGCAATTTGTTATATCAAGGCCAGGCCATTTGAAGTGCTGAAAACCCCTCGTTCTCCAAGGTATTCCTGGCAGAAGGTGCCTGCAGATCTCAGGAGAGAAACTGCAGTTGTTAATCTGCTGCTGCCCTGCGGAATGTGAATTGGCAGGACCAGAGGTCAGGATGACAGGGGCTCCCTCTCAGAGTCGTTACCAGGCAGCTTGTGTTACTCAGGAGAGCTTTTATTGTGCTCTTGCCTGTGATGGCGCCCCTGGTCCTGGTCCCAGGTATGTGTGAGCCATGGAGAAGCAGTCCTTCAGCAGCAGTGTTAAATGCCATTCTAAAATAAGATGGCTCAATTTTGATGTGCAAACCAGCTGGGAAGCACAGGCAGCTCTGCCATTGGCCCAGCCATCCAGTGTGGAGGAAAAGACTTCATCCACTGTGCGAACCCAGTCTCAGGAGCAGAGTCTCTATCGATCACATCTCTGAGAGGGGAGAAGTCCCTAGGTTACACCTTTGGACCGCTGTCATGTCCCAGGTGATTTTCCCCTCGGTATTCCCACCTTGCTGCCTTCCATTTCCATCATTGCAAGGCAGTATAAGATGACCTCATTTTCCTTTATGTCTGCCAAGTCTTTATGCACATCAAAGAATGGTGAGGCCAAAGATCATTCTAGAAATTATGATGCTCAGTTAAAAAGTGGGAATTTCTACCAAAGAGAAGGAGGCGGGAGGTGCAGAATGAAGGCATTGGAGGAATAAATGTCTGTATTTATCTCCTAACACACACAGCCGTAGCAAACAGGACTGTTCCACCCATGTCCCTGATTCTTTTATGCACATTTTAGTGCTGCATAGCCTAACTTCAGGCATACCCTCCCCCCATCCCCCGGTCTGGATGATGGAAGGTTATGGCATGGGCAGGCAGCACAGCCATACTTACTGTCCTCGCTGCCTCGTCCCACCATCCAGCTGACCCCAGGTTCCATCCTGCCGTTCTGCTTGAGGATGTACTGGACTGTACAGCAGCTGCGCACAGCCTTACTCATTTGGAGGCCCACAGCATGTCACATAGTGCGTCTGCACCACACAACTCTGTAAATGTTGGGGAATAAGACACGAATGAAATGCTCTAGAAAAGGAGGGTGTGGGGGGAGGAGAAGGGGAGATCTGTTGTGTTTAGTAAAAATAAACTAAGCTGGGGGCTGGGGATTTAGCTCAGCGGCATAAGCGCCTGCCTTGCAAGCAGGCAGTTGTGAGTTTGATCCCTGGTACCGATAAAAAGGAAAAAGACAAAAAATAAAATAAAATAAAATAAGTTATGTTTGAAGGTACGTCTTTTTGAAAAGGTTAACAAAAATCAACAAAATTTTAGCCAGATTTTAAAAAGGCAAAAAGAAAACTCAGATTATCAAAACCTAAAATATAATTCTAACACTCAGAAGACTGAGGCAGGAGAAGTAGTGTAAATTCAAGGCCAGCCTGGGCCACAAAGTGAGTTTAAGGCCAACCTGAACTATATAGTGAAACCCTGCCTCAGAAAGATCAAAAATAAATATATAAATAAATATGAGATAAAAGGAAAATTGCCAGCTGTCTTAAATAAAAGGGATTAAAAGGGACTACTGTGGACAATTATAAGGCAACAAATTCAATAATGTAGACAAAATGGAAAAGTTGCTAGAACATACAAACTCCCAGAGATGATTGAATAAGGGATAATCTGAACGGACCTAAAAATAAGGAAATTGACTTAGTAGTAAACATTTTCCCCCACAAAATAAAACCCAGACCCAGATGGCTTTCTTGGTGAATTCTACCAAATGTTTAAGGGAGAATTAACATCATTCCTTTACAGGCGCTTCCAAAAAACAAGAGAAAACCCTTCCCAATTCACTCAGTGAGGTCAGTATAACCCTGATACCAAAAGCATGCAAATCTTGTAAGAGTGTTGTGGACCATTATTTCTTACAAGTGTAAATGCAAACTCAACAAAATACCAGCAAATCTAATCCAGTGACATAGAGAGATGATTATATGCTATCACCTAATAGGATTATCCCAGAAAAACAAGTTTTATTTAGCATACAAAAGCAGTGAGATCAACTGAAGAACAGACTGTTAGGATAAACACCACATGAGCTTCCCAAAGATGCCAAAAAAAACAAAAATTGGCAAAATTTAGCAGCTTCTCATGAAAAAAACAAACAAACAAATATCATGCTTAAAGGTAAAAACAGAATTTTCCACTTGAAATCAATAATAAGACAATTCTGCTCCTGCCACTTCTATTCAACATTGTTCTGGAGGTTTTTACCTATACTTAGTGCAAGAAATGGAAATACAAAGTACTCAGATTGGAAAGGCAGTAGTATAACTACTCAACTTATAGATAACATGATCTTGTATATAGGCAATCCTAGTATCTACCAAGAAACCATTGGAACTGTTAAAGGAGCTCAAAGGGTTATGGAATACACTATTAAAATGCAGAAATCATTTGCATTTCTGTATACTAACAATCCAAAAATGAAACTAAAGAATTTCACAATAACAAAGAAGGTACACTAAAAACCATAAGCGCCACTGAATGAAATAGGTTGGAATAGGGGCTGGGTATTTAGCTCAGCGGTAATAGCACCTGCCTTGCAAGTGTGTGGTCATGAGTTCGATCCCCAGTACCGATAAAAAAAGAAAAAGACAAAAAAAAAAAAAAAAAAAAAAAGAAAAGAAAAGAAATAGGTTGGAATAAATGGGGAAATATCCCCTGTTCATTGAAAGTCTTAGTATTGATGAGATAGCATTACAAGCTAATCTACAGAACCCAGAGACAGAGTAGCGGGGGGTTGCCTAGGGCTGGCAGGGAGTTGGGAGTGAAGGGCCAGTACTATCGATGAGCTTGGGTTTCTCTTCAGAGTGATGGAATGTCCTCAGTTAAATGACAGTGATAGTTGCATGTGACTATATTTCATCAATTCAAAGTCACTGAAATGTATATTTGGAAAAGACAGTTTTACAGTATATAAAGGATAGCTCCATAAAGGGCTCCTTTAAAAAATGAAATTGGCGGGCATGGTGCTACATGCTTGTAATCCCTACATTCATCAAGCTGAGGCGGGAGAATCACCACAGGGTCAAGGCAAGCCTAGCTGACACAGTAAGCCCAAGGCCAGCCTGAAGTACATAGTGAGGCCCTGTCTCAAAGAAATACATAAATGCAGTCAAAGTAGTTTGTATAAATATGTGCATGCTGTGTGAATAGTGAGGAAGGAGTTTGTATTGCATATTGATACAGCTCTGTCAAGTGGGAGGGCAAATGTTCAGATGAAATCATCTCCTGTAGTGTTAGGGAATTCAGTTCAGTTCAGCATGTTTTTAGTAAGCATCTACTTGTGGCAGGCACCAAGACAGATACTTGCTTTTGTTTAGTTTTCACAATAGAATTCAGTAGGTTGGCCCTAGATACATTCCACACAAGAGGGAACTGAGCCTGAGGGACTTGTTCAAGGTGTTACAGCTGGTAAAAGGGACTGCTGGGATTTAGCCCAAAGACTGACTCCTACAGCTTTTGGTACTACCCATGGCACAAAGAAAGAGCTGATGATAGAGCTTGTAAATAATATTCGAGCTTGCTTGCTCTATTGGAGATCAGATGAATTTCCCAAAAATAATTTCGGAGTTTGTGTTTGTTGTCTGATTACAAACAAACAAAAAACAGCAACAACAGAAAAAGGTGAGAAGCCTGCCTCTCTGCACAGCTAATGCCCGTGTCTCATACTTTAAAGACTTTGGGACACAGGATGGAATCATGCTGAGTCTAACAGCAGTTTGCTGGCATCTGTTTGAGGATGCTATTGCTTTGTATCTTAAGGCTGTTCTTAGCATTTTCTTAAACCTAAACCAAATATGCACACCAAAGTACAAAAATTAAGTAAAAGCCATAGAATGACAACGTCTCGGTGCATAGAAGTGATCTGGGTGTGAGGTCCTGGGTGTGAAGTCATGCTACCCTTGCACAGTGTGGAGCTGTCCCTGGGAAGCCAGGGACAGCACCTCTTTCTTTTGCATCTTTTTGGAAGCAAATAACTAGGTCTCAGGATCACTAGAAGTTTGCATTTGTCATTTTTATATGCAGTAAATTACCCACCAGGTAGTTATTGTTCTCAGTGGGTCCAGCTAACCTGATTCCAGATGTCACTGGATCTAGGCCTCCCTTGTCTCCACTTCAGTCAAGTCTACTCTAATAATTACCCAAGTTCTGTGGTCTAATAATCACCCAAGTTACCCAGGCTCCAGCTCAGCTGCTTTAGCAAAGGCTGTGGCAGAGGGAGGCTGCTCCCACGAGCCAGATGCTCCCAGACACACAGCTGCTGCTTCCCTATCCTGCTCTGTCTCCTGGTGTTGCTTAGATGCCCTGGTGTGAGTCAGGTTCAACCTAGTGACAAGGGGTGTAAACTACCACCTGGTTGTATCCCACCCAGCCTTACCCTCATCACTGGAGGCAGGTGGGAATGACCAAGGACACAGGCGGTCACCCCACGTCCCACCCAGCTGCTCTTTCTCTGGATTGTTCTTCTTGTGGAAAGGCCCGTAAGTAAGAGTGACTTTAAGCAGCGTAGAGAGAGAAAACCCATACACAAACTAGCTTTTTAAAATGCAGTGTTGACCTCAGCGTTACATGCTGGGATACACGTGTGTTTCAGTTCTGCATTGTGTGGAAGCCAGTGAGAAACTTCTCGGAGAAGGAGGGCTAGCCTCAAGAGGGAAGGCTGCTCTGCAGTTTGCACTTGAAATGTGCAATAACATATTTTTTAATATAACAAAAGATGGTTTGTTTAGGATGAAAAAGGTGGAAAAAAATGAAGATAGACAGCTGCTGTGTGAGGTGGGAGGGAGCCTCAGCTCTGAAAGCCCAAACTCTATCATAAAGTTAAGAAGTCCCCATTGTGGGGCTGGGGATTTAGCTCAGTGGCATAAGCGCCAGGCAGGCTGCAAGCAGGCAGTCATGAGTGCAATCCCTGGTACCGATAAAAAGGAAAAAGACAAAAAAAGAAAGAAAAAAAAAAGTCCCCATTGGGCTTAACCCTGGAGTAGATGTTTTAAGTGTATTTTCTCATGTCGTCTTTATACAATCCTATGGAGCAGGAAACTACTATCCCCTTTTTTTTGTGGATGAGAAAAACCAAGGCTTAGAGTGATTTGGAAACTTGCCAAGAGCACACCCAAACAAAGCAAGAAGGGACCCTCTGATCCCATTGCCTGGGCTTCCTACGTCATGTGGTCCCCAGGTATGCCCCATCTCGGCACAGCCAAGGGGCAGGACATGACCCCGGGGGCTGCTGACCACTCAGCATCAGGTCTCTGGAGAGGTGGATCACATCTCACGGGGCTTGAGGGGACAGAGAAGGACGTGCCCAGTAGGGAGAACACCTCGCAGTGATGGGATGGGACGAGCCGAGCCTTGAAGGCAGGAGGGGCAAGGCTTCCAGGAGAGAAGGGAGGTCGAGGGGCAGGAAGAACGGGACTTGCTGAGCCATGCCCTACCTCTCAGCCGGGCTTGAACCAGCGGGCTGGGGGCTGATGTCGCCTTTCCTGTCCAGGGTCTGCCCAGGGCAGCCTCCTCCTCCTCCTTCTCCCACTCCAGAACACACAGAAGCAGGCTGACTGCCTCCCAGGCTCAAGCCCCGCCCTGCTGGCTGCCCCTTCTCGATTACTTATAAACCCCTGTTTCCAGCCCTCTGCCTAGTGCTCCTAGGACCCAGATTGCCAAAGGCACCTTCCAGGTCTTCAGTTGCCTAGGGTGGTCCATTCATTTTATTTCCCCTTTGTATCATGGTCCTTGTATCATTACTGGCTATTCTTTAGATTTAAATTTTGCAATTTTTTTAAGGCAAGTCCTCCTGCTTCAGCCTCCTAAACTCTAACTCTTCTAAGCCCTAACTCTCCTAAACCCTGAAACTAAAGATGTGCATCACCACATCTGGCTAAATTTTGTCATTTTATTTTTTTCAAATCTATTTGATTGGGCTGGGGATATAGCTCAGTGGCACGAGTGCCTGCCTGGAGTGCAAGGTCATGTGTGCAGCCCCCGGTAACAGAAACAAACAAGCAAACAAAGCCATTTTATTTATTTATTTATTTTGTCTTTTTCCTTTTTATCGGTACCGGGGATCGAACTCACGACTGCCTGCTTGCAAGGCAGGCGCTTATGCCGCTGAGCTA